AAAACAGAATTAAATCAGTTTGGTATTTTTATAAATAAATTGTGAAGTAGGGGTGCAGAAAAGTAAGAGATTTCGCATATGTTCCAACCATTTTTATGCTTAAAAAAATGTACTTGATAAACAAATAGCAAAGCAAAATTTACGCATAATTTTTAAAAAGAATCACTGATTTTCAAACAAAAAATTCAGGTGAAAAACCTGTCCTGCATTAAGTGATGTGGATCATGTCATCAACATCAAAATACAGAACTTTTGGAAAATATAAAGAAATTTGGTTTGATTTGAAAATTTTTTTAAATACTTAAAAACAAAAAAAGAAGAATGCTTTTTATTTTACAGGAAAGTTGCAAGCAATACTCACTAAAAAATCTATGACAGATCCTATATTCTTATTTGAAATTATGTTTGATCAAATAATTGTTATAAGTTAGCAAAGTAAAACATTTACATATAAAAATGAAAAATCTTAAAATTATGTAAATTTATTTTTATTCTATGATCGTTTTTTACGAAACTTAATTTTCAATAGCCTATGCTCATTTGAACAGTTAAAAAGTGTTTACATGTTCATTTCTAACAGAAGATAAGTTATTTGAAAGTTGGCATGGTGCAAAAATATTTAAAGGGAAGTAACATATATATGACGTTTCAGCCATTGTACGCTCCGGACTTCTTCAGGTGATATATGTTGGAATTTTGAACTGAACCCTTTGTTTTGTCTATGGTACTTGGAACTAGAACAATCTACCCAGGTAGATGAAATAAAAGGTTCAGTTTGAAATTCCAACATATATCATCTGAAGAAGTCCAGAGTGTACAATGGCTGAAACGTCATGAATATGACAAAGATGAGGACAACAGTCAATGAAAAGTGTAAATAAAACTTTATTTAAAAATTCAACTTGTGAACATTTGCACTTGTATAATTTTTCTCACACAATCAATAAAGGATTTTGTTTTTCCTTGGGTAGGTTGGTGGGACTCCTTGAACATGATTGTTAAAAAATGCTGGTTTAGTTCAAGAAATTTTAGTCATTCATACTAGGCTAATACTCTAGAAATGCTTTGATTATAAACCAAAACGTTGAAAATTATCATTTAAGACACAAATGCTGTGTGAATTTCTGGGACGAGAAGTTATCATTATTTACACTATATTTACATTCGGTCTATCGTCTTTATTGTTGTTGCTATCACAACATTTTGGTCATTAGCCAGAAAAAGTGTAATGAGTCACTCTCTTGGAGGCTAGCATCAGCTATGCTGATGGAAGGCAGAAAGCAGTCTCTCAGATGATTAATAGATAACTGTTTTGTTTTGGAGACATCAAAATTAACAAGCCATTCCTTGCTCCAGATTTTAGGTCAATTTGAGCTTATTGAACTAACTGATCAGACTTTTACTATTAAGAATGAATTTTTTATTTTCAGAAACACATATTTTAGGAATGCTAGAAGCTGGAAAAAAAAAAATTAGCAGAAACTTAAATTTGCTTTAGAATTTATATACTTTATATTTAACTAGTTTTATCATCAGTTTTTGTCAGTCAGTCTGAAATATTAAAGAAGTAAAAAAAGTGAATATTCAGGGAAGAATCAGTTTCTTTTATTCTAAACTAGCAACTAAGAAAATATGAGAAAACATTGTTAATCCATTATGTACCAGATTGAAAAGATTCTACCCGCACCTGCCTTGCCCATTCCTAGAATTACACAGTAAATGAGAGTCAAACTTGTTTGTATTTGTCATGTTCCTTTTTTTTTTTTTAAGTGTCAAGACAGCTGTGTTATATTCAGAAAAATGCTCGCAATTTATGTTTCATACATGTTTTATCTAACCTACACAAATCTATATTAATTCCAGGCTATATCCACAAAGAGAGAAATAAAATCTAGAATAAAGCAAACATCAAGAATTCAAATCAATGCCTATACTTGGTTTGATAGGAAATATAGATTGAAATAAATAATAGTAATCAGGGACAAAACGTGTTCCGTATATGCTGGCCTATCAAACACATGGTTAAGATGGAATATTTGACTTACTGAAACTCATCCATGCTCTCAAATAATACGACTATATAGTTTTATTTATTCATTTTTTTCTTTTAAATTTTATTTAAATGTGCATCTTATAGAATGAAAAATATTTTATCTAAGTTTTTGCCTCTTGATGCAACAAATGCAGTTGTCGGTTTGATTAGATTTGAAAAGATAGAATACAGGATCAAAAACAAACGTTTGATTATAAAGAGTTGGAAAGTAGACAAGAGACACTCACCCAAGGAGTCAGTCAGTTATATGCCATACGTGATACACACTTAGGTGATCATGTATCTTTCAATACATGACTGTGGAGGCAGATTTTTTCCTTCAACAGGTTGCCATTTCTTTCTGCGGTAGATCAGTTGCTGTCCATGGCTACAGAACCCAGTCTGTCCTGCTATTTACCCATAGCTGGTGGGAGAAGAAGAGGATTCATACCTTTCCCAAGGGTATTAGCATGTAAGTGAATGTAATGGATTCGACTGGAATTTGAACTTGGCTCTAACTAATTCCTCACTCCTATAACATAGCTAAATTCCATAAATAAAATACCCAGTAAATAATTTTTTTAGGCCCAATCTAGTAAGCATCTAATCTTTCAAACCTCAATAAACAGGGTATTTAATCTAATTTATAAAATGACCACTAATCAAGTGATATAAAAAATGTGTAGCTTACAGCCACATCATGTTCAAACACCAGCTTCCATACGATCCCCGATGTTGAGGCTGGTCAGTACTTAGATGGGTGACCACTTGGAAATGCCAGGTGCTGTAAGCATGGATGTGTGGGTGGTGTAATGGATAATGGCTTGGAATTGTTAATTGGAGAGCAGAATTCCAACTCCTGTTGGGTTTGTTATATTTGCTTATGTGCAAAGTTATGAAAAATAACAAGTCAGATTAATGTGGGCTAATTTTGTCCAGAAAATCATCTTGTTTTTCAGATCATTTTATCATTCAAAATCAGTCTTAAGCTTTGAAATGTTTAATACAAGACCTTATTAGGCCTTAAGCAGAAATAATTCAATTTTCAAAAAACAATGCCATAGTCAGTTATGCACCATGCATGATACATGCTTAGGCAATCATGTATCTTTTGATACATGACTGATGATGCAGATTTTTTTCCCCGTAGTAGGTTGCCATTTCTTTCTGCGGTAGACCAGTTGCTATCCAAGGCTATAGAACCCAGTCCATCTTGCTATTTACCCATAGCTGGGGGGAGAAGAAGAGGATTCATACCTTTCCCAAGAGTATTAGCATATAAATGTAATGGATGTAATGGATTTGAGTGGAATTCAAACTCGGCTCTCTGACTCCTCAATCTGAGCTGCTATCCATTACTCCACCGTCATAGTAGTGATAAAAAAAAAGTAACTAAATGTCTTAACTGCATGAGGAACGTTTATAAATATTAAGACTATAAAGGTTCGGGTTAAATAAATGAGTGATTAAATTTACTTATTTAGTTATCAAACCTGCTTTTAAGCTATCTTTAATAAACTTACACTAAAGAAGAACTAATGTATAATTTCGTATTCAACTATATCATATTTTTGCTAGTTTTAAAACATAGTTTATCATGTACTAAGTCAAGCTTCTTATTACTACACACTTCTACCAAATAACAAAATGGACTTTAGGTGTATTTAGTTGAATGAGCAGGAAACTCCTCCTAACATACAAGTGCCTTTGCTTCAACTAGAACAAGGACATTACAGAGTTCAGCATGAATGGTGTGAAGTAAGAACATCACTACTTGAGTATTTATTGCTAGTAGAAAAAGCAACAACTGCATGCTATCATTAAATGTTAGTATTATTATAAATAGCATTTATTACAGATAAAAATGTCTAGCATTAAAACTTTCAATGTAACAAGGTTAATCAGATTCTCTGTAATTAATAAATGTACAATTTTAAAGAATTACTTAATGAAAAAAACTATAGTTCTTTAGTTAATTTTTTCAATATCTGAATGATTAATTATATCAATTGGAGTAAGATGTATTACAGTTAAATAAAACCATGTATTATATCTCACTATTAAAACATTTTCTGTTTGTGTTGATGGCATTATTATAATAAGTTATTGACAAACATGGATAAATGTGCTTGCAATAAGACATTGTCAAAAAGACAATTTTTCTCATGACATGGCTTTTTTTTAACTACCTTCCCTCATCAGCAATGTTTGTTGTTTTAAAAAGTAATGATTAGAATTGGAATAAAAACTAAAGATATGAAAATGAATTTATACATTTTGTTTGTACTTGAGAATTGACAAAAATAACAAACACTATTAGATTTACACTACCATATTTTTTTATTGGAATGGTTGACAAAAAATCGTCTAATTGCCAATTGATTCAAACTTTATAAAATGCTAAATAAAGATTTCCTTATAGTTGGTTCACATATTTCAATAATTTAGTAAATGATTATAAATTTATGAATAATTGTTTTCACATTTATTTCTTTATAAATTGATAAATGATAAATATTACATTAGTTCTAATTAATTGTATTAGTTTTTAGAATGTTCTAATATAAAAATTATTCTTGTAAATAAACAAGTGTTTAATAATTTTGTTGTAAATTCTCAAGAACAAAAAAAATATGTTTAGGTTTTATTCCTATTCTAATTATCTCTTTTTAAAACAAACATTGCCAAAGGGTGGAGGTAGTTAAAAAAAGCAGTGTCATATGAAAAACTGTCCTTTTGACAGACCATCTTTTTGTGGGCAACCCATTTTTGCAAAGTTATTCTTTGGTTAAAAAAATACAAATAAGAAACAACATGAACATGACTAGAGAATTCTTTCTCACATCTCAAAAGAGAAATTAACATAGCAAATCAAACGGAAAGATCCAACATTATGACCACATACACTATTTTTTCAGATTGGTAATACTTAAAACACTTATTTAAGAAAAAAAAAAAAAATTCTTACCTTCATCTTCTTCAAAATCATCCAAAACTTTATCCAGATCCACAATATCCATCCTACTTGCTGGGATGACCTAAATAAATGAATAAAAAAAAAACAACAAAATAAGTTAATGGTGGACTGTAACTTTTTGCGACTTTTAAAATGTTATTGATAGAAGGATGATTCAACAGGTTTAATGTCTTGCGTTATTTAGGTCTGACAGAATGTGACAACCTCTTGACCACAGTATAAACAACATGACCAAGGATAGGAGATAAGTAGGCAATAATCAATATCACACAAGCTCTGTTGGAGATATCTAAACCAATGACCAAACATTGGCCAATTTAAATGTGACAGGTAAGTGTGGACAATACTAACATCTCTATTTCCTTCCATACACCATGAAAAGTTACAAAATCAAAATCACCAGCACTAAAAGTCATCACAAAACAAAAAGTAAAACACGGAGATCTAAAATATCTATAGTAAAGAATCAAAATTATAGGTCTGTCAAGTCAATGATTGTTAAGGGAAAACATAATTATTAAAGCATTTTAGAGCAATAGCCTTAAGAAATAGTTTGCCATCATTAAGAAAATAAAAAAAATAAAATAAAAGAAGATATCAAGAGCAGCCATAAACCTACATAAAAAATAGAGCTTTACTCTATGATACCTAGACTTTATGAATTTAAGTGCAATACTAGATTGGCAACAAGGTCTCATCAATTGATAGTTAACTTGGCTAGATGTAACAGTAAGCTCTATAAGTAAGCGTTCTCTCTCATTTCTTGCATGTGAAACTCTCTCCCAGCTTCTTGCTTTCCAAACAACTTCAATCTTTAAAAATTTATGTGCAATATTAATTGTATCTACTGTTGTCTCGATTCATTTCTTTTATTGTTCTCTTGCCTTAATGTTTTTCTTTTTCTTACATACTCAATAACGCACCGTCTTAGTGGCTTTACTGAATTACTCAAAGTGAAATGATTTTGAAAAGAGAAAATAATGAAAAAAAAAAAAAAGAGAATGAAAATAATGAAAAAAAAAAGAGAATGAAAATAATGAAAAAAAAAGAGAATGAAAATAATGAAAAAAAAAAGAGAATGAAAATAATGAAAAAAAAAAGAGAATGAAAATAATGAAAAAAAAAAAGAGAATGAAAATAATGAAAAAAAAAAGAGAATGAAAATAATGAAAAAAAAAAAAAAAAAAAAAAATGAAAATGAAAAAAAATGAAAAAAAAAAAAGAAATGAAAATAATGAAAAAAAAAAAAATAATGAAAAAAAAAAGAGAATAATGAAAAAAAAAATGATGAAAATAATGAAAAAAAAAAAGAAAAATAAAAAAAAAAAGAGAATGAAAATAATGAAAAAAAAAAGATAATGAAAAAAAAAAAAAAGAGAATGAAAATAATGAAAAAAAAAGAGAATGAAAATAATGAAAAAAAAAAGAGAATGAAAATAATGAAAAAAAAAAAAAAAAAATGAAAAAAAAAATGAAAAAAATTAAAAAAAAAATGAAAAAAAAAGAATGAAAAAAATGAAAAAAAATGAAAATAATGAAAAAAAAAAGAGAAAAAAAAAAAAGAGAGAATGAAAAAAAAGAATGAAAATAATGAAAAAAAAAAAAATAATGAAAAAAAAAATGAAAATAATTAAAAAAAAAAAGAGAATGAAAATAATGAAAAAAAAGAGAATGAAAATAATGAAAAAAAAGAGAATGAAAATAATGAAAAAAAAAGAGAATGAAAATAATGAAAAAAAAAAAGAGAATGAAAATAATGAAAAAAGAGAATGAAAATAATGAAAAAAGAGAATGAAAATAATGAAAAAAGAGAATGAAAATAATGAAAAAAAAATGAAAATAATGGAAAAAATAATGAAAAAAAAGAAATGAAAAAATGAAAAAAAAAGAATGAAAATAATGAAAAAAAAAGAATGAAAAAAAAAAAAAAATGAGAATTTTCTAATGAAAAAAAAAAAAAAAGAATGAAAATAATGAAAAAAAGAATTAATAAAAAGAGAATGAAAATTGAAAAAAGATATAAATATTAAAAAAAGAGAATGAAAAAATGAAAAAAAAAGAGAATGAAAATAATGAAAAAAAAAGAATGAAAATTGAAAAAAGAGAATGAAAATAATGAAAAAAAATGAAAAGGGGAAAAATGAAAGGGAAAAAGGGAAAAGGGAAAAAAAAATGTGAAAAAAAACAGAATTCTCAAAATTTTCTCTAAAATCTGATGACAGATTTAAATGTTTTAAGATATATTATTAAATCTATGCCAAAATTTATGTGATGCATTTCATTCTTTATGAAATTGATTAAAAATGATAATTGATGTGACTACACATGTGCACAACGGAGAGGGTCACATCAACATAAACATCATTTTAATAAAAATCAGAAAAAAAAACTATAAACAAAAGTCAGAAAAAAAAATTATAAACATAAATTCATAAAAATTACATGATTTACAATTGTTGATTCATTAATAGTAAATACACTCTGTATCTGAAAAAAAGTAGTGAATTGTAAAAGAGAGCTGAAAACCAAACAATCTGAAGTGCTATCCTTCATTGGTGAAGTTTAGTATCAAATGGTCAGAAAGTGAAAACTGGATTTTAACCAGAAGTATAGCATCTTTCTCTCCAGCAGTCAATGTACTTATGAAATTTATAATATACTTGAAGGACAAATAAATAATCACAATACTTATTATATACTTCTATAAAGTATACATCTATTTAAGATAAAAATATATATAAAAAAAAATCCCGTGTGTGTATGCACACATATAATCAGATTTTCTAAATATTAACAGTGAAGAGAAAATTTTTTTTTTTTTTTTTTTAAATCCGACTTGAAATTGTTTTCCTTCTACAATAACATCATTAATCAAATATTTAGTCACTGAGCAATATCTACAACAAATGTAACAACAAAGAAGGATCGTAAATGAACACTATATCACAAGTTGATTGGTTGTATTTTTAGCGGCATATCTCTATTGGTTATTTAATAAAGAAATCTAAACATTTTGTATGCAATTTTCTTTGAGATAATAATGGTTTTAGTTATATAAATCTTACTAATTAACCCATAGCTGGGGAGAAGTGGTGGATTCATACCTTTCCCAAGGGTATTTGCACATAAGTGAACATAATGAACCCAACTGGAATTGGAAGTCAGCTCTCTGATTAACAATTTCGAGACATTATCCATTACACTACCCGCAAATCCAAGCTTACAGCACCTGGTAATCCCAAGCGGTCACCTATCTAGGTACTGACCAGGCTTGATGCTGCTTAACTTCAAAGATAATACAGAAACCGGTGTTTCAACGTGTTGTGGCCGTAAGCCACCAGTTAAGTCAACTGGTAATAAAATAAACTTCTAAATTATAAAACCTCTGTAAACTCAAGTTTGAACAACTCTTGATATTTTAAAAAGATTTTACATGTGGTGCCCAGAGTTGCTATATATATGTCTCTATGGAGACTGCAACTATACTGCCATAATGAAACTAGTTTACTAACCAGACAGGTGGAGAGATATAAGATTCTGAACCTTGCCTAATTTCACCCTGGTCACACGTGAACAGCTGTCAGGATGAAATCAATATGGTACAAGACTGGTCATGAAGCAACGATACAAATAGTTGTGAGCATTACAGAATATGGAAAATTGTATCAATTTACCTTTGACGGTTTGATCATTGCATGAGAGAGATATAAACATATTATGAAAAGATATTTGACAATAGAGCAAGAAGTGACTTGTCAATAGTGCTTTAAATATAAGCAGTAATCAAAATATTTCTTTTTTGTTTTCATTTCACCCCAAACAAGGCAATGACGCCACTAGAATGTGGCGAAGTATCATGGGTAATGTCTAACCATCATGCTTGCAAAAAAACAAAAAAACAACAGCATGTCAAAAGGATGACACTGCTATTACTGTATACACTTTTGACTCCTTCAGCAATGTTTATCGTTTTAAAAAAAACGATGATTAGAATTTTAATAAAAACTTAAACATATGAAAGTGGATTTATACATGTTTAGTCTAGAGAATTGGCAATAGATACTAAACAATATTTATTAGATTGAATAAAAAAATTGTCTTCATAGTTATTTATAAAATGGCAAATAATAAATATTGTATTATACTTGGTTCATATATTTTTATAATCTTTTAAATAAATATTGCTGAGAGTCAACAGTAATAGTAGTATCCAGGGAATAATCGTTCTTTTGATACACCTTTTTTTTTTTTACTTTTTTTCTTTTTTTTTTTGTGGGCATAAAGGTTAAACATTGTACATGATACTTTATGACACAGATCTAAATAAAACTTCTCTATCTTACAATCACTACATTTGGAGAAAAACCTCAAAAATAAAAATTTGAAACAAAAAGTTGACTGCATTCAGCAAACTGTTGCTATGAGCTGATAGAAAATAAAAATAAAAGGGAAAAGGAAAGAGAAAAAAAAAATCAATATTTATTGGATTTATTCTGTTCATCAAGTCACAATTCAATAGATTTGTTAATTAACTCTCTTGTGCTAAAATTACTATTCAAAATCTATGTACATTCAATGAAGTCTCATTTCCACTACAATGTGTATATCTGAAGGGAAATATTTTTTTGTATATTTCTAAATATTTTTTCTTTTTTTTTACATATTGACCCCTACAAAGGTAACCCAATGCCAAGCATATTTAAGTTTTATTAAAGAAAACAAACAAATCAAATACAGCAATACTGTTTCACTAAAGCATTTCTTTGATTTGCTTTCTAACATGTACACCTAAAAGAAAAAACTCAACTCCTTGTTTCTATGTATAATATGTTACACATGAGTCTGGCGAACTTAAAAATGCAAAATGGTTTAATCAGAAGGGGGAAAAAAAAATGATTCAAAATGCAGTTCTCCATCTTGATGACTTTGAGAAATGTGTGACATTCTAGCAAGATCTGGAGAAAGTGGGGAAACTATTTTTTTTAATCATTTCACCCCAAGCAAGGTGATAAAACCACTAAGACTTGAGAGTTACTGAGAGTGAAAAGCAGGTGAGAAAATATTACTGAAGAGAGGACAATAAAAAGAACATGATTCAAGGAGACAGAAGTTGTCAACTGACACTGCATTTAAATTTTTGAAGATCAGTCGAAAGGAAGAAACCGGAAGAGAGTTTTGCAAGTGAGAAGTGTGAGAGAAGAAACTATTAGCATAGAACTTAGGTTACATCTAGCAATTTCAATAGTAAATTGATATGACCTACTCTCTCTCTCTCTCTATATATATATATATATGTGTGTGTGTTTGCAGTCTGTTTGGGTTTGCTATATATGGCCAAACAGTTTTGTGTTGAGATATTAAATTAGATCAGAAGGAGTGTTTTAACATTTAAAAAAAAAAAAAAATGACTACATTTTGTTATTCAGAAATCTTATTGTAACAATTGTCATTTGCAACCATTCAGTGTAAAACTAATTTCTTGTATCATTAATAACCAGAGAAGAAAAAATTGTTTGTAAAAAGCAATTTCAATGAAAAATCTTTTTCCAGTAAATTTTTCTGCTTGAAATTTTATTTACTAATTTTTTCTCCTCCACCCCCAATTGGTTCATCTATCATGCACTTTACACTCCTCCCTGGCCTTTTGAACAGGAATAGACATTTATCCCTTGTTCACTGTTTAGGATTGGGTTTCCAGATCCTTCTAGAATCTTTTCATTCTCTTTTACTTTCCAGTGGCCCCTTCTGTCTTGGTGACACTGTTGCTTTGTTTGCAACAGATACATTAAAAAAAACAAATTCTCATAAACTGTGACTCTTGCTCTGTAACCATCTACTCTATTTAAAGAGGCTCTTGGGCCTTGTACAGGGTGAACATCATTGTAAAAAAAAAAAAAAATTCATAATGATGTGAATAAATAATGAAATATTAAAAAATAACACATTTTTACTCAAATATTGATAGCAAATGAGAATGGATTTAGTTTCTTTCATAATTAATGAAAGTGATTTCCTATGCCGCAAAGAAAACCAGAATAATTCTGAGAATTTTCCTAAACACTACCAAGATTTCATTTTTAGATTGCTTTACAAAGAAAAACTGAATAAAGCAAGTAAGTTTAAACAATTAAAAACATACAGGATTTCAGTTTTTAAAAGACTCTTTATAATAAATAAGTTTAATGTAAGAACTGACAATGTATTAACAAAACATGTGAACAACAAGGAAGTTTTAATGAAAATTGAAATTCCAAGAAAATGGATATTTATAATTACTCATAGGACATAGTCAGGGTGCGATGGATAAATTGTCAAAATTATGCAAAAATGAAAATAAAACTGACATCTCATTTTAACAGATATATTTACCAAAATTACAAAAAATTACTTTGAAATATTAAAGTGTAAGTTTATTCAATAAAATTGCCATTGGCTTCAACCTTGGATTCTAGATGACTACAGAATCTCCTGCAACTCTTCTGGATGGTCTCTTTGTTTAAGTTGGTGAACGCTGCCATAATCCTTACCTTCAATTCATCTTTGGTGTTACAAAGAGTTTTTTGCTCACACATAATAATCAAGGGGGTTGCAGTCTGGAGAGTTAAGTGACCAGATGTAAGGGAGGATGTGGTGGCAGAAATTGTCTGACAGCCATCACAGGATTCTTCTGCTTGTGTGGCAGGGTGAAGTGTCCTGTTACCAGATATAGCATCTTCCAGCAGCCAGCCACTTAATCCAGGGCAGCACTACCTCCTCAAGACACGATGTAAGCCTTCATGTTGAGTCTGAGGCCCTAAATAATAAATTTGAGAGTTCTTTTTCTTATCAGAACAATCAAAGTGAGTTTTCTGAGCTGCTGTATTTTCGTAATCACTATTACACTCATCCAACTCTTTCTGAACCTTCTGCATTGATCCTCAGATTGGCATCCATACACTCTAAAAAGCTTCTGGCATGAATGCCAAGCAGTACAACATGCCATTTCCAAAATTTCTGGTGGAGTGAATTGTATCATAGTGCTCTTTTTTATCATGGATGACACCCAACTGACCCGACCATACTGTGCAGTTGACAAAATAAAAAATAAAAAACAAACAACGTGCAAAATTAAAAACATAAAATGGAGACATTTTACCCATCACATCCTGTACAAGTTAAGAGCAACAGAGGAAACAGTGAGTAACCTACATAATTTTGAATGGATTGCAAAAAGAAGAACAAGAGATGATAAAGGGCCAAAAGTTATTTTAATGTAACAAAAAAAAAAAAAAAGAAAAAGGAAGTTGTGGAGAATCATGATCACTCATGTCCGATATGGTACATGAAAGAACAATGAACTAAAAAAAAAAAAATCTTTTATATCATTTATATTGTAAAATAATTATAAAAATAATAGCCGATAAAACAAAGCTAAAAGGCTAAAAACTAATGTTAAAAATGCCTGCTGATTGATTTTTGGCAATTTTCACCAATGTATTTCAATGGTGTGAAATAAAAAAAAAATGGCAGAAGTATTAAGTAAAATATGATAGAAAAAAAAAATGGCTGTTAACTTTTATGTTATTTAAATATATTCACAATCACAGGCTCAGCCAATTTTGAAACATATGCAACTTAAAACATTATTCATCCATCAGGCTTGTCTTTTAAAACCTTTATCACTCTCTATCTGACTTAATTTACACAACAAAAAGTTTATCCTGCCACTGATTTTGATTCCTGAAGAATAGTGTTTTAATTTCATAATTGTGATGTCATACCCTCCTATGGCAACAGAAAACAACTTTGAATGAAATTAACAATAAGGATATTGCAATTGAGAGCACTTGAAAAAGAATGCAGTGGGAAGTAGTATTAATAATGTAGAGTTCTAAAAGTTAACTTTCAAAGAAAAATAACCTAAATGCTACAATGAATGAAAATAAAAAACATTTAGGAGAAAGGAAAAAAACAAAAAAAAAAAACAAAATTTATACAACTCCAAATTTTGATACGTCTACAAGATAAACAAAGTTGATAAGTTAGCAGAGGTTATGTGCTGTGTCCCTTCAGGATGTCAATTATCATGGATTTTCACAACTTCCTGTCTTTTGTAGTTCTTAGTAATGCTTGTCCATTTACCACCCATCCCACTTCTACCATCCATTCACATATGCTCACACAGTCTCCATGTCACTTCTGCCTTCGATATGCCCTGTGAGAATCAAATTTTCCTTTCCTCATTATGAGTCCCAGAAATTTCAGTTGTCTCTTTCTGATTTTAAATATATCCTTTTTGTTTCCATGCTCAGTTCATGGTATTCTCGGCATTCTTCTGTCAAACTACATTTCTGTTGCTTCTGGACTAATCTTCTGCTCTGAGAAAACTGTCCAGCATTCAGTGCTTTACAGGAGGATTGATATAATAATAATAGTTCAGTACTCTTTTCTTTGATTCTAAGAAAATTTTTTTGTTTCTTAATACTTTGTTTAGTATTTGGAAGGCATCTTTTACTATTCCAATGCCCCTTCAGATTTCAGTGTCACATTTTCTGTCCTCTGTTAAAAAATTTGCCAGATATTTAAACCTCTGTAATTATTTGATCTTCAATTTATACTTCACACCATTTGTTTTTTCTCTTACAAACAGAGATTAAACTCTGAAGAAAAATCTTAGCATGAGAGAAAATTTTTTTTTGGGGACTTTCTTATTTATCTTCTTTTTATTTAATAGA